CCCCAAAACCCCAAAACCCCAAAACCCCGAGAGGCAATTAAAAAGGAAATCAAGGATGAATAATGATTTCAGTTATAATTTTTATAAATTCGAATTAGAAAGCGTTGTTTGGACTATTAATGTTAATATTTTTAAGGACTAAGTTAAGCTTGGATTTTGAAATAATATATAAGATGAATAATTGCAAGCTGCCCTCTGATGTTGAATAGCATTTGTTTGATCTCCTCACTTCTTGTTTCTCTTAATAATCTCTGAGAGCCAATTAATTCCATCTGCGATTCCGTTACCTTCAATTGCATTACTTGCTCTAATAAAATAATGATTAATATACTAAGCATTACTGAATGTGCCAAGCCCTATCAGTTATCTACTCTAGTTGCATCTCTTTCGCCACTTCTTATTCATTCATAGCCATTGCTAAATCCATCTTATTGGCAAAGAAAAGTATCGGTACCTCCCTTTTTCTAATTGCTATTTTGTAATAATTTATTAGGAATGTCTAGAAAATACATGGATGATCTAGAAGCATGTCAAGTTCATTTTTCGCAACTTGTATTCTTAACCTATCAGCAGAGTCCACTACGAATATTATTGCCTATATAATTATAAGTCATTATTCGATTTATTCATGAGGTTAAGTGAATTCATATATGGTAAAATTCTTTCAAGATTATGTAACTTACTTCAGATTCATCATAATATTGCTCCCACAGAGTTCGATATTTAGATTAACCCGACATATCGAAAACTGTAAAGTCTATTTTACTCTGAGAAAAAGTCTCTACTTTAAAACCAACTGTAGCTGCGATTTCTGTCTCGGCGTACTATAGGCAGCGTTAACAGCAAGGTATCAATGATATATACTTTCTTAGGCTTGAGCTTGTTGATCATGGTGGACTTCCCAGAGTTGTCAAGACCAACAATGATGATCTTAGATTTCTTTTTACCCATTTTTCCACCCATTGTTTCTTTACTATTTTAATATTTATTTAATTTATTATAAATTATAAAATAATGAACTAATTAATAATGGCTTTACGTTAGAGAGCACCTATGTTCTCTAACTCTTTCATCCAGTCTTCATAGGCGATGGCTATAAGAGGTCCTAAAAAGAAGAAGGTGGCTGCAGTTGCTGCTCCTGATTCAAGTGATATTGTAAACATATGGAAAGACAGACCAGACCCATAAATTCAGGCTTCTGAGAGATACCCCCCCTGGCTATTTAATCTTCTTGAGGAGCATTATACTCCAGATGATGTAGTCTTATAGATCTATCGTGGTGAGAGAGTGCCTGCTGACTTCGAACAGTGGGCTTTGGCAAGAGCAGTGCGTAGAGATTTGATGAAGGATTTGAATAAGTTAGAGAAGGATGAGTGGCACTATGAGAGTGAAGATGACGAGGGAGAAGATGTAGGTAAATTCAATGAAGATGAAGCCGAAGGGGGTGATGCTGAAGGCGGAGAGAAGAAAGAAGGCGAGGAGAAGAAGGAAGGAGCTGCTGCTGCTGGCGGAGCCGGTGGTGCTGGTGGCTAGAAAAAGGAAGGAGAAGATAAAAAAGAAGGAGGAGAAAAAGAAAAAAAGTGAATGCTTGCACACACATCAGGAGATCTTTATCAGCATTAGCAATAATACTTTCAATGTTAAGTTTAAGGGCTGGTTTAAATATACTTTTAACTTAATTAAAATATTTACAGTCATTGATTTAAATACAGACAGTTGCTTGGGGTTTTGGGGTTTTGGGGTTTTGGGGTTTTGGGGAGATCGGAAGAGCACACG